AAAAAAAAAAGGCGACAAATAAATTGGCAAAGTTTTAAAACTTACATGAGGATAAAAAAATACACACGTGTCAAACATGTAAGCAACACAATTTAAAGATATTCCAAAAAAAAAAAAAAAAAAACGGACGTGATGAAAAGAGTCTCTACAAAATAGGGGCACCCTTACTGGTTGCGCCAAAGCTGGACAAAAAAATGAAGACCTTATATTCACATGTACCCACTTTTCACATTTTTATATTTTTCCCCTTTGGCTAATTTAATGTGGATAAATTGTAGTTGGCAAAATCCCAGTTAACTTTGTGCAGCCATTCTGCGGGTGTGGGGGAGGCATGAGGAGAGGACGGGTGTGTCTTTACGGCTACTTTTTATTAAACACGCATCGGATGAAGACAACAAAAGGGTGTGATGGATGTGCATGTTCACCCGTCAGTAGGATGCAGGATGTGTGCACACATTCGCAACGATCTGCATGTGTGACGTTTTTTTTTCCCCCCCTACGCACCTTTCACGTAGTCCCCTCTGGCATTTTTGTAATCCACATAGTAAGCATGCTCCCAAACATCTACAGAGAGGAAAAAAAAAAAAAAAAAAAAATGTATCCATGCAATACGAGGAAAGACATTTTATATATACAATTGTGCCTTGTTGAGGAGTTGATCTTTTTTAAAAAAATGGACTAATGGAGGAGTGTTATGAAGCACATTGTAAATTCGTTTCTTCACTGGAAATTGCCTTACCTAGGGTTAGGATGGGGTGACCAATGTTACTCTTTATGGGGTTATCGGCGTCATGTCCTTGGTAGATGATGAGCTTTTTGTCCTTCATTATTAGCCATATCCAGCCGCTCCCAAAATGGCCTTGAAGGGAAATGGATACGAGGGGAAAATGTGTGCCATGCGCATGTGTCGCGGTGATGTACGAGGAGAACACGTGTCGCTGCAAAGTACCTGATGCTTCCTTCAAGAAGACGTCTTTAAAATTTTCAAAGGTGGTAAAGGACTCTTCAATTTTGTTTTTTATTTCTCCGTAAGGCTTCCCACCTCCATGCTCCTTCAGTCCCAACCAAAAGAAGTTGTGGTTAAAAATTTGAGCTGCGGAAGTGGTTGACGGTGATGTGAAATGGATGAAGGACAGGTGCATATCGAATGAGCAGTGAACACCACCTGCACGTTACATCGACTTCGAATTGGTGTAAAGGGACGAATGTGCGAGGAAGCAGCCAGTTGAAATATTGTCCAAACAAGCATTCCATTCAGTGCGCTCTCTCAAAAGGCAGAATTACCTGCATTGTTATAAATGGGCCCGGAGTATTTTCCTATCACCTCTGAAGGGGGTGGAAAAAAAAAAAAATATATTTTTATATTTAAAATAGGCCACCCATCTATCACGACAAAGCGCGCTTCACGGACCTTCCAAAGTCAAATTCCTCAATTCACCGTGTTGCTCGGCTAAATCTGGAAAGGGGAAATTAAAAAAAAAAAAAAAAAAAAAAAAAAAAAAAA